AAAAGACCTTGGCTATTCACCCTATCCATGCCCCTCACGATTTTATAAACCTCTATAAGGTCACCCCCTCAGCCTCCAACGCTCCAGGGAAAATAGCCCCAGCATATTCAGCCTCTCCCTATAGCTCAAACCCTCCAGCCCTGGCAACATCCTTGTAAATGTTTTCTGAATCCTTTCAAGTTTAACAACATCCTTCTTATAGCAGGGAGACCAGAACTGAATGCAGTATTCCAAATGTGGCCTCACCAATACAGCTGCAACATGACCCTCCCAACTCCTACACTCAATGCACTGACCAATAAAGGCAAGCGTCCCAAACCCCTTCTTCACCGCCCTGTCTACCTGCCACTCCACTTTCAAGGAACTATAAACCTGCACCCCAAGGTTGCTTTGTTCAGCAACACTTCCCAGGACCTTCCCATGAAGTGTATAAGTCCTGCCCTGATGTGCCTTTCCCAAAATGCAGCACCTCCCATTTATCTAAATTAAACTCCATCTGTCCCTCCTCGGCCCATCTGATCAAGGTCCTGTTGTACTCTGAGGTAACCTTCTTCACTGTCCACTACATCTTCAATTTTGGTGTCATCTGTAAACTCACTAACCATCCCTCCTACGTTCACATCCGCATCCTTTATATAAATGACAAACAGCAGTGGACCCAGCGCCGATCCCTGTGGCGCATTGCTGGTCACAGGCCTCCAGCCTGAAAAACAACCCTCCACCACCCCCCTCTGTCTCCTACCTTCCAGCCAGTTCTGTATCCAAATGGCTAACTCTCCCTGTATTCCCTGTGATCTCACTTTGCTAACCAGTCTACCTAGAGTAGGTAGATAGGGTTCTGAGGAAGGGTCACCGGACCCGACACCTTAACTCTGTTTTCTCCTTCACAGATGCTGCCAGACCTGCTGAGCTTTTCCAGCGACTTTGTTTTTGTACCTAGAGTAGGACTCTGATCTGTCCATTGCTCAGTTGAAAAAAGGACAACCTCAAACGTGCTTTTATCAAACGTTACCTGTGTTTTGTCTATGTGTCGACAGTATTGTCTGACTTTGTGCCATCAGCATATTTGGATATGTGTCTTTCTATGCCATTATCCAAGTCATTAATAAATAATGCGACTAACTGAGGCTGTAACACAAATGCAAGTGGAACACCACCAATCACATCCTGCCAAATTGAGTACCTATACTTTATCCTTACTTTGGCTTCCACTCAACTAATTTTTACCGTTGTGTCAGTAATTTTCTCCTCGATTGAGTGGCTTCTGTCTTCGTTCACAGCATGTGATGCACAGCTTTGTCAAATTTCTGAAGGATGTTGCCAGGGTCGGAGCTGCAGGGAGAGGCTGGCGCAATGGAGGCTGAGGGGGGTGACCTTACGGAGGTTCACAAAATGACGAGGGGGCACGGACATGGTGAATAGCCCAAGGTCTTTTTTTTCCCCCCCCTCAGGGTAGGGGAATCCAAAACTAGGAGGCACAGGGTTTGAGGTGAGAGGGGGGAAAGATTTAAAAGGGATCTAAGGGGTAACTTTTTCACGCAGGGGGTGATGCGCATATGGGATGGGCTGCCAGAGGAGTAGTGGGAGTCAGTAATGGCCCTCATCAATGTCCTGTACGGCTGCAACATGACGTCTACATTCGATGCACTGACAAATAAGGGCAAGCTTTCCAAACGCCTTCTTAAGCTACCAAGGCCAAGTTCGGGAAATTTGTGATTGAGGAGGGGGTGGAGGTCGACAGAGGGGGAGAAGTGGTGTGGAGACATCGCAATGGCGGAAGGTGGGGCTGAATGGCCTCATCCTGTTCCTATCTGGTGTGACAAAATGAGAAATAGCCGGAGAAACTCAGCAGCTCTGGCAGCGTCCACACCTCTGACCAGCAGTGCCTCACGCTGGCTCGGAGCTGCCCCTCCTTCCCCTCCACAACCCCAGTTCCACTTCATCTTCCGGCTCATTCAACATTCCAACTAGAAACCTTCTGTCTTTTCCTTGCAAGCATTAGGGGGATCCAGGGCGCAACTCCATCCCCTCTCCCAAACCCACCTCCTGCCGAGTATTTACT